AAGAGTGTCAGTAACCCCTCTTACTGAAAAAGGGTAGTGTGGAGCAAAGCACGATGCTTCGTTCTGCTTTTTTCTGTTCTCTGCCCTCAAGGTAGGTCCTATATACGACAGAGAAAACCTCTATCGAAAGCTGAAAACAATGACCTTGGTATGTATGCCAATTTTCAGAGGAATACCATACCAGTCTTAAGAACTGTAACACTCCTGAAAATGAACAGTTCAAGTGATGCCCAGTATCAATTTTGCATTTAAGTGGCATAAGCATTTTTAAGAAGCACAGGCAGAAAAGAAAGTAATTTCATCATAGCTCTAGACAAAGAGCAAAGAGATTGAGTTTAAAATGAAAGAAGGGAACATAGAAAGCATCCTTCCAAAACAGGTAAGAGTGGAAGAGGGTTGTCTCATTAAGCTGCTTGATTCTCATGGCAGGTCACTATTTCATTATAGATGCTGCAGGATCACAGTTCCAGTTACACACTGTTCCTTACGTACTTCCACGTCTCCCAGCTTTCTCTTTGCATGGCCCTTCCTTTTTCACGAAATGACATAAAAAAACTTGTTTCAGCTTATTTCAAACCCATCTAGACTTGCTCCTTTTCAGTTACAATTTTTGCTTGTGATTCTGAGAAATCTAGACAAAGAACCAAGGATAGAAAAAGTAATTAAAAAAGAAACATGTAAAATGCAAGCGAGCAAAACTTAGTAAGAGTCAGTATATGAGATGATTACACAGGTAAAGCACCTAATATTATGTCCTGCCAGACTATTTGAAGAACAGTCTTTCTCTATTACAAAATAGAGAGAGGGAGGCAAGAGGGAGGGCAAGAGGGGGGGAGGGATGGGCATCATTTTCCCTGTAAAATCAAGATTTGGGAAAAACGTGCACATCTTTCTTTTAAATAAAAAAGAATTTATTCAAGTAAGTTACGAGATTTAAATCAAAGAGATTTAAATCAAAGAGCTCTGCAAAGCGCATTTGAAAGGTCTGCCAAAATTCAGTCTGTTCCATCAGGTTCAAACATCATGTACGCTACTAACTGTGTGACAAGATGACAGACCTAGGTAGTGTAATTTTAACTGAGTAGGCATTTTTTCTTTAGAATGTATGAAATAGTTAATGAGCACATGTAAATTACTGCCAGTCAAATAATGTTGATACTTAAGGGGCTGCCAATTTGGTCTAAAATGAGCTGGAAGAAGTAGGTAGCTTTGCAGGTACATCACTGTCAGTGCAGCTCACAGCAGACTCAGGAGGGCATCAATGACTTGGTTTGCTCCACTGAGGAATCCTTTACAAGATGAAACACCTGCCCGCTTCAGTTTTACTTCAGTAAACGTTTTAGGGGAGTAGACCCTATCTCCATGCAGGTATTAGGTCCACAAATTTTACATCCCTGCAGATTTCCATTGCACCAGCACACCACTTTCCAAATATTATGTTCCCTTCAACAGATGGAAGTCAATAGATAAAAAGCCCTTATTTCCAGATGCGCAAGGTGGCAAGGAGGCACGCATGTATTTGGAACTGTAACAGGCTATCAGACTGTATCGGTTTCATGAGCACTGGTAACGTTATTAGTCGGGTAATGATAAGCAGTGACAATGAACAGTGGACGGAATACAGTTCTGATGAGCCATACCTAGCTCCTTTTGTATGTTGTCAGGGATTCCTGTAATAGTCTTTCTCCTTTTGACTTTCTTCGGCCGTCTTACCACCGTGTCTGTGTAAATTAGAGACCGCCGAATGCTGGCTTGGCGGTCGAAATTCTCCCCTAATATACGGTAGAACAAGCAAAGCAACATTACTTCCAAGCACGCTGACATCATGCACTTTCTTCCACTAGTTTTGTTGAAGAAATGAAAAAAGGCATTAATAAATGATGTTAGCTTGGTTCTACAATGAAAGTTTACGCTGAAGGAAAAGATACAGCATACCATCACAGTAAGGCTTTAGATGCACCTTACGCATTACAGAGAACTGCAGGTTTCAAAAGGAATTGTGACTTCTTGAGCCTAATTCAGATCACAGCGTACGCAGCTGTAATTCCACTGAAGTGAACAGAATCCTTAATTTAATTTGGCCCTTACGGTTGTGTTCTTTTTAAGTAACGCGCTTCACAAAAAGCAAATCTGCTCATGAAAATGAAAGATCATAATGGTTTATACAGAACAGCCATTGCTACTGGCAAGTTCCTCGTGCAGCTCCATCATTAAATCACACTTCCTTTTTCACTGCAAATTGCTCTGAACCTGTCAAGTGTACCATATTTCTGGTGGCAATTTTTTTTTTTTTTTTAAAAACACGAATACAAATAATTACTACGGACCAAAGATCAATTGATCGCATGATCTCACAAATATTCCAGTCAGAGTGGAAACTGTTTAAAATTGCAACCTTACAAGTGATAAAACACATGTACAATGCCAAGAGCTGAAAAAATAATGTGTGTACAAATGCATACTGCAAGACAAAGCCTTAGAGTGACCGTGTGCTGTATCTTAATGGGACCCAGAAGCACCACTGTCATTAAGGTTGAGCAGCTTTTCTTCGGAAATTCACTTTTGTTGAGAGGCTTATAATTTGGCCATTTCACTAGCCGCAAGATAAAACTTGCCGTATAGATTGTCAGTTGAGGTAAATCTCCATCTCTTCTGGAAATCCTGAAAAGCCCAAATTTCACATTTAAGTTCCCTTTTTAAAAGTTGAAGCTTTTTAAAACAGTCCTAATTTTAGTGTAAAATGAGCTATTTAAAGCTGAAATGCAGAAAAAAACGTGATACACATTTTGTCTTGTACACTCTTTTGAAAATTTATGACCAAATTATTTACCTCTGAAAAGTGATTAATGCATGTGCACAGTAACTAATATACCTGTCATAAATACTATCCTTGGCTGACTACACATCAGTATGATGTGTGGCAGGCAGGTAGTGTAGAAAACCCTCCTTATCCCTACAACAGTTAAACATACACTCATATATTAAAGTATAGCGTGTGGACTTCTTCTGAAAATACAAGCAAAAAACGTAGCAGCTTCATTCACCATACAGCAAATGTAAAGACACTGACGCTGTTTTAACGGAGTCTTGTGCTCCCATGAATAGCGTTCTTGCTAAACAAATTCCTTGCAACTACAAGTAACTGTCATTTTCATCTGAATTTTAATTAACTGAAGTGAGGCCAGGTTAAGGGAGGAGGAATCCCATGGGATCTATCAAATTTAGCACTACGAATCCCATGGGCTTAGTAGAAGCCCTAAAATATTGAGATAGAATATCCGCTGTCTGGGGCATAACTGCTATTAGGATGTTAGGACCCTTATGCGGTCAGGGTCAGGACTATTAGATAATCCTGCCATGCACTGAGCAGATGATAATTCTAGCCACATTGTAACGAATGCAGCACAGAATTCAAGAGAGAAATTTTTTCATCTCTGAATGTATCTTTATCCATTCAAAGACCAACACTTGCACCCGAGACTGAGAGTTGCAAGGAAATTAAATAACAGTTTTGCATGTCCTAGAGTAAAATAACATGTAAATGGTAAATAGAGGGTGCAAACAAGGAGGGAGTCTTCCACATAAGGTCTCAGACACACAAACAGGGTGACCATAGGAAAAAGTTACTGTGTGTCAGCTGATCCATAGTAACTTCTTGCCCCGTACTACCTAAGACCTAACTCAACCAATCCATCTTCAATTGCTTTTGTTACACGGCTTTTTGAAAGCCACTGTGCTTTCAAATTTCTCTTCAGAAATGAGTTTCAAGAGAATTTCAAAAGAGTAGCTTTAATAAATTCTAAGTCAACAAGCAGAATCGATGTTTTTTCTTGTCTTCCTTTTTTTTTAATTGGTGTTACTATTAAATATATTGTGCAGGTTTAAAGATACATTTTTCCTTCCTTTACAGGTTTGTAACAAATCAGCTAAGCATTCCTCACGCAGTTTATTCATTTTTCCCCTCACGCAGTTTACTCAGTTTTCTTGGATTCACCAAAAATATTTAAGGGCGTGCTTAAACTTCACTAAAGTCAGTCCAGGAGGACTCAAGCAAATGCTTAAATGTTTTGCAGAACCCAGCCTGGCGCTGATCACCTCCACCATCACCAGACCAGCTTCCTCCATCTGTAAAGAAAGTTAGTTCCAGAAAACCCACTAGAGCAGGCACCATTTTAACATACTCTTTTTTTAACCCACAGGACACGTAAAAGCAGAGGCTGGCCACCACTAAAAATTCAGTCCCAATCCCTTCCGGAATAAGCTCAGCCCAGCCAATCCCAAAGACTGAAACTGCTTCCAAATCTGGATGTCTAGTCAGCAGCTTGTCAGCCTAATGCAATGCCCCTGCACCTCCAGGCTATCCAACAGATTTTTACTAGTGCTGTATTAGTTGCAATCTGTTCACCAAAGAGCCCTGCGAGCCCAGCTAGGGGAACATTTGTTGCGCCGCCACGTGAGGGGCCATGGAGCATGATCATTATTAATGCACTGTTGAAAAGGCTGTCAATTTCCAGCATCCTCCTCAGAGGGTAATGTTTCATTTCATGCCAGGAGTAATAAATGGAAGTTTTTTGACCTCTCTTCTGGGCCAATGAGAAAAAGAGCAAGCAAAGGAAAAAGCCAAATCAAAACAAAAATACAGCTACGGTTCGTTCCACAGCACGTTTCAGAAACGGCACAGAATTTTTGGTCGTTTTTTCCTGCCTCCTGTAGTAACATAAGGGACCTCACAAAATAAAATTACTGCGTGTGGGAGGGCAGAGGAGGGAAGCAGATTGTGACTTTTTAAAGGGGAACAAGGATAGGAGTCCTTTTTTTTGGTGGCCCACAGCCTGTTAGTTTTGCTTGTCTTGTTTCAAAGTAGCAATGTAATTATTCCTAGGGAAAGGAAAACGTGGTTTCCAGAGACCAGCTCACGTACTGCAGGAATAACCACCCTTTACTGTCCTTCTCTTCATACCTTCCTATTACCATTTTTATAGGAGAGAAAATGCAGAACACCAAGTTGTAGGAAGGTGAAGTGTAATACACATGGGCAGGGTCTTTTTTTTTTTTTTTTTAAACCACTATTGCTGAGTAGGAGAGTGCAGAACAAGCAATTCAAGGGACGCAAGGTTTGCTATCCCAGTGGGATTCATCTGTTTGAAATTCCAAGCGTAGTTTATCCAAATCCATTAAACATTTCCAGTGATGCTGAATTAAATCTATGACTGTTATTTGATCTCTTTTACCCTATTTTCTTTCCATCTGTTTACTTCCCCTTTATTTTTGCAGTACATAGGGTCATTAAATTGAACCGCAGATTACTCATTCTGTACGTATAGCGTGTTCCTGCTGTCACAATATCTAAGCCATGCTCAGGCTTATTGATTATGTCAGCTAATCCAATCCCTTGTCCCCATAACTCTGCCTTCTGCACCTGTATCCCACATTCACTAAACAACGCCAACTGGCCTACTAATATTTCAGCATTACGTTTGTTTGTTCCTGTTAGTTATTTTCAGGAGGTGGGGTGCTGGTAATTTTCTGTTGTTTTCATGCTGTTAATTTCAGACATTTTCTGCTGTTTAAGTAATCATTTTTGTTGATTGCTCAGAGACCTCTGATGGTTGTCACTGGCCTTGAATTCTAGCATAGCTTAAAACCGTATCAGCAGAAATCTTCAGCAAAAGAAGCACTGCTCCTTCCCTTACAAAAGCTTGTTCATAAAAATATACCTCAAAAAAATATTAGTAGTCACATAGGAAAAGGGAGTATCTAATGTACTTTCAAAACAAAACCAAATATCACTAGCTATTGAACAGATTACAAGAGCGAGCAGGGAGCCAAACAGAGCCATATGGCATTTGAAATAAATTGGATATTGAATATCATCCTGGTTTTGGCAGGAAAACAGTTATCTGAATTAACTAATAATAGAGAATCTTGATACTGTGCAGAAAAAGAGGGATTATTAAATGGAAGTGATAATTCAACCTTTCACAGAAATTCTATTTACGTACCTCAGGAAATCTATTTGGTATTAGGCTTTTAACATGATTTAACTTCTATAGAGTTGAGTGGGAGTTCTGTAACTGTGAAACCAAAGACTATTTTGAAAACAGAAAGTCAATATACAACTTACGCCAATAAAATGTGGACTATTTTCATGAAAGTTAAGTGACCTACCAAGCGACTTGCTTGAGGACACA